AAAAAAAAAAAAAAGAGTTGGAGGTTGCTATGAGCTATGAAGCCATGGCACTCTACCCAGGATGACAGGTTGAGACTCTGTCCCAAAAAAATAAAAATAAAGAGGTGTTCTGAGGCAAGAGAATCGCCTAAGCCCAGGAGTTGGAGGTTGTTGTGAGCTGGGATGCCACAGCACTCTACCCAGGGCAACAAAGTGAGACTCTGACTCTAAAAAAAAAAAAAAAGGTGTTAAATCAAAACTATAATGAAATACCAATCACACCTACTAGGATGGGTAAAGTAAAATGATACACAATAACAAGTATTGGCAAGGATGTGGAGAAACTGAAACCCTCTTATTGCTAGTGGGAATGTAAAATGTGTGTCATCACATTGGAAAACAGTTTGGCAACTCCTCAAAACGTTAAACAGGGCAGCACCTATGGCTCAGTGAGTAGGGCACCAGCCCCATATACCAAGGGTGGTGGTTTCGAACCCAGCCCCAGCCAAACCACAACAAAAAAATAGCCAGGCGTTGTGGTGGGCACCTGTAGTCCCAGCTACTCAGGAGGCTGAGGCAAGAGAATAGCCTAAGCCCAAGAGCTGGAGGTTGCTGTGAGCTGTGATGCCACAGCACTCTACCAATGGCGACAAAGTGAGACTCTGTCTCTTAAAAAAAAAAAAAAAGTTAAACATAGTTATATGATCCAACAGCTCCACTCCTAGTCTGCACAAAAACTTTTATATTAATGTTAACAGAACATTATTTATAATCTCCACAAAATGAATATAATCCAAATTTCCATCAACTGATGAAATGATAAACAAAATGGAGTGTATCTACACAATACAGTATTATTTGGTCATAAAAAGAAGTACTGATGTCATGCTACAACACAGATGAACCTTGAAAAAAGCCAGGCTGGGCACAGTGGTTCATGCCTATCATCCTAGTACTCTGGGAGGGCGAGGCGGGTAGAATGCTTAAGCTTAGGCATTCAAGATCAGACTGAGGAGAAGTGAGACCCTGTCTCTACTAGGGAGGTTGAGACAGGAGGATCACCTGAACCCAGGAGTTAAAGGTTGGTCTGAGCTAGACTGACATCATGGCACTTTAGCCTGGGCTAGCAACAGAGTTAGACTCTGACTCAAAAAAAAAAAAAAAAAAAAAGGCCAGGCACAGTGGCTCTCGCTTGTAATCTTAGCACTCTGGGAGGCTGAGGGCGGGTGGATTGCCTGAACTCAGGAGTCTGAAACCAGACTGAGCAAGAGCAAGACCCCATCTCTAAAAAAAAACAAAAGTCAAGTAGGCACCTCTGGTCCCAGTTACATGGGAGGCTGAGGCGAGAGAATCACTTGAGCCCAAGACTTTGAAGTTACTGTGAGCTCTACCAAGGCATTCTACCCAGGGTGACAAAGTGAGACTCTATCACCAAAAAAAAAAAACAAAAAACAAAAAAAAACCATAAAGAAAAACCATTTCACACTTACTAGTTTGGTCATAATTTAAAAAACTGACAATAACAAGTTTTGGCAAGGATATGGAGAAGTTAGAAGCTCCATTCATACATTTTCAGTGGGAATGTAAATTGGGTATAACTACACCGGAAAACTGTTTGGCAGTTGCTCAAAATGTTAAGCACACACGGTATGGGGGTATCTGGCACACCTTTTGAGTGTGGGACATAACCACAAGATTCTACCTAAGAATTTTGTTATGATTCTGACCTAACAAAATCAAATATTTTGACCTAGTTGTTTGTACCCTCACATTAACCTCAAACAAATTTACTTTTCAATTTAAAAAAATGGTAAGGCTTGGCCCTCATAGCTCAGTGGTTAGGGCACCAGCCATACACTAAGTCTGGTGGGTTAAACCTGGCCTAAGCCTGCTAAACAACAATGACAACTGCAACAACAACAAGAAAAAAATATATAGCTGAGCATTGAGGCCGGTGCCTATAGTCCCAGCTATTTGGGAGGCTGAGGCAAGAGAATCTCTTGAGCCCAAAAGTTTGAGGTTGCTGTGAGGTGTGATGCCATGGCACTCTACCAAGGGAGACATAATGAGATGGTCTCAAAAAAAAAAGTTAAACATAGTTACCATGTGATTTGGCAATTTTGTTCCTAGATATATACTCAAGAGAATTGAAACATGTGTCCACACAGAAACTTGCACCTGAAAATTCATAGCAACATTATTCATAATAGCCAAAAAGTAGAAACAATCCAAATGTCCATGAACTGATGAATGGATAAACAAAATGGGCTATATCTATACAGTAGAATATTACTGGGCTGGCTCGGCGCCTGTGGCTCAAGTGGCTAAGGCACCAGCCACATACACCTAAGGTGGTGGGTTTGAATCCAGCCCAGGCCTGCCAAATAACAATGATGGCTGCAACCAAAAAATAGCTGGGCATTGTGGTGGGCGCCTGTGGTCCCAGCTACTTGGGAGGC